TCGACGGGAACAGAGGGTTATGTTTCCAGTATATCTGTGCATCTGTCTGTGGCGATCATAGCTCCTGAACGGATGAACCAATTTTAAGATTTTTTTTTTTTGGTTTGAAAGGCGTCTAAAATCTGTTCAGCCGTTTGAAAATCATCAGCTCCTTTTGTTTCGGGGATGTTTTAAATTTTTAATTGAAGTTTATACTCTATTTAAGATGATGCAGTCATTTGTCTCAATAATACATTAGCAGAGAGGCACCCTAGTCTGTAGGGTTGCCAATCCTACTTTAGTGTCCTTATGTTAGAGATCTAAATATTATCGTAAAAGTATGCGGAACTATAACATAAAGGTCGATTATTGTGTATCTAATATTAGTTAAAATTTAATTACAAATTAATTATAAAAATGTAATTTGATAGGTAAATAAATAGCTTAGAAAACTATATTTGATGTATAAAAAAATAGCAAACCTAGTAATCCGTGACACTGACTGTGTCCTCTAAAACTTGTATTGTGTGATTGTCACATAGAAAGTACGTATTATGAAATATTAAAAAAAAACTGCTTCGATAACGCAGCGTTGTCCAAGTAAGGCAGTGTAAAAGTAAACAACCTACTGTCAACAACGCCATCAAACACAAAGCTATGTACCGGCCATTAACGCAAGTGATTTATGGTAAATGATTGTGGAGAAAACCGAGCGAAAACCTTGCACGAAAATAACCCTTTGATATTTAAAAAAAATACACATGATCTTTCGCTCTAATAATGCAATCATTGACCGCTCTGTGGCGCAGTGGCTTAGCAATGAGTTTGCAGCGCTGGGTGCCGCGGGTTCGAATCCCGCACGGGACAAGTATTTCTATAGCCTACAAATAATTGTTCCGGGTCTGGATATTTTTAACAAAATAAAGTCACGTAACTATTTTTTTACCACCTATGCAAACAGAGGGGTGTTATTATGTATAACGTGGGTTTGTGTGTTTGTTTGCGGCATCGCAGCTCCCAAACGGATAAACCGAATTAGATTTAGTTTTTTTTTTGTTTGAAAGGTGACTTGATCGAGAGTGTACTTAGCAATTATTCAAGAAAATCTGTTTCGTCGTTTGAAGATCATCCGCTCTTTTCGTCTTGGGGTTTTTTTTTAATTTCAATTTAAGTTTTATAGTTCTCTATCAGCATTAAATAAAAGAGAAAGAAACATTTATTGCAAAGATGTAATGCAATAATTGCATTACATTGCACTTATGGCAACGATTGTAGAATATCAACTTTGCTACCTCCGCTGATCTATAATATCCTACAGTTGACAGAGCCACTACACACCTGCCAGGCCAACATTGGATACTACAACTCGTATACCATCTCTTAACTCTTCTGTGTTTGTCACTAAACTGCTCCTTTTCCTTTCGATTTTGATGAGTTTTTTGGTGTTTGAGTGGGTGTGATTTAGTGATTTACATTAAGTTGCACCCGGTACGTGGCGCTTTTTTTGAGGTAAAAAAATCACCTGTGGGAAGCCGGAGCGAACCGTTAGTCTTATTAATGACTAGCTGTGCCCGCGGCGTAGCTCGCGAATATAGGTTTTACTTAAAGAATTTGACGTTTAGGGTAAGAGAATATTAAACGATTTATATCATTACTGTATGAATAAGTGGTAACAAAATAAATCGATACGCTCAAAGTTCTAAGTCGTTTATGATAGAGCTTCCGTGTAAACGACGATAGAAGTAGACTTAGCCGGGGCGTACAGAAAAAGGTTGGCATAGAGTTGGCCATGTGCAAAACAATCAGTACTGGGGTCCACTCCTACAACGCGTAAAGTTTGACCTTGCGCTTTATTTACGATCGTCGCATAACACACGCTGAGTGGGAAACACACTTAAAATAGGGATGTTAGATGATCATCGATGTTAAAAAAACTTCGATGTTTTAACATCGATGTTGACACATGTCAAACATCGAAACATCGACGTCAATGAACCCATAATCGATAATTGGGAACTTGCAAACAATGCGAACTCGCGAAATCAATATCAACTAAATCTTGCATCTGCTCTGAAGATTAAAAATTTTGAATAATTCAGAATTCCTGAACGCATCGTTAACCTAAAAAAATGTCAGTATGGTGAGTCAAACTTAATTGTCAAGTGTCACCTTTGATGTCACAATGGTCATTGCTTTCGCTTTATTTTGTAGTGTCGTTGTCGGTTGTCGCATAATAACTATTCTACGTAAATTGATATTCAAGTTAATAGTTACTTTTCCCTTGATGTGTATACCCACATAATTTTGAAACAATGTGTAAGTATCTACACATATACAAAAACCATCGATAATGGTCATCATCGATGTTTTAAGTAGCCTAAACATCGAACATCGATGTTGAGCTATCGATGCCAACAGCGATGTCATCATCGATGTTATTATCCCTATCTTAAAACTGTAAGGAAAGTTATTTGGTATTAGAGGTTTAGAGGGATTCTGGGTATAAAACAATATCACGACATTTATTGCAAATTTACTACTTTTAGTCGAGTTTTCGAGTTTTGTTGAATAATTTCGACGTACGCGGTACGTCTCTTTTTACTGTTTCTGTCGGTGTTTGTGCTTTGTGTTGTTAGCCTACACGGCTCTAACAGTCTTGAAGCTTCGTCGGACTCGTGAACATAAATTTTTTCAGTGAGTGTCAATACGATTCACCTGCGAAAAATCTTAACACCGCAATTCAGAAAAGGTTGTAATTTGTACAACGCCATCTATTACGTTCTTTGTGAGAAAACATCCTTTTTTAATTTAAGGAAAACATATTTTTTTTTACTGTGTTTTAAGTATAAATATATTATAATAGAACGTTTTTTTTACACACGTATCTTTTTATTACTATTTCTGAGATTTTGTGGCGCCATTAAACAAATTCGAACCTACATTTCAAAATAATAATCATAACTTTCGATAGAATTAACCAATTTTAATAAAACAAAGATTAAATGTAACTCGAAGATACGCTTTATGATTTTCTTAACGATTTCTTTGAAAAAAAAAAGATGTTTACTTTAGACGTGATGCTTTCATATAAAAACAGACAAACAGACAGAAAGACAATTCTAAAAATTATAAAAATGTACTTATTTAATTATTTTTAGTTCCCCATAATGATTTTAGTCACCATAATATATAATATATACAATGTACAGAAAGAGACACATGTTATCATCATTTTTATTATATGTATATATTTAAAGAGAGATGGCGCTGCTAACATCAACTTGATGACTCCAACAAAGCCACCGTTGAGCAAATTCCCTACCCATACTTCAGAATATTTATCATAACTTTTGATGGAATGAACCGATTTTAATGAAATAAAGACTAAATGTAACCCGAAGGTTTACTTTATAATTTCCTTAACAATTCTTATGATATAAATTAGTACTTTAAACGTGATACGTTAACAAACAAACAGACAGACAGACAGACAGACAGAAAATTCTAAAAATGGTAGAAATGTATTTAATTACTTATTTTTAGTACCCCTCAATCACTTTTATTACAAAAATATAAAATGTACAGACATCTGCTATTTACAATTTTATTATATGTATAGATATGTTTCGAAGAATTTTGATTGCGACATATTATTTCAATTATCAAAACGTATTCAAAGATTGATCGCTGAACCAAACATTATCGCGAACAGCTCATATCGAACATTCAATTTATCTATCGACATGATAATTTATCACGGAACTGCACAATGCGTTATTTGTAGATATCTAAAGACATTGAAGTAATATGTACTACGTACTAGAAGAGATGCCGAAACATGATCGTTTGCAAGAGTTACCAGATTGAAAAAAGTCCTGACGAATTAGTTGATTCTATAGAAAAATCCTGAAATTAAGTTGCAAACGTAATTAACAAAGCTTGAAAAAATAATCTCAATATTGGTTTTCTGAATTCGCACGTCACAGATTCCACCCCTCCCACGCAAAATTCTACTGTATTTTATTGAAATATCGAAAGAGCCTGACATTTCCAAAATCCGACCGGAATCCTGACAAGAGCCCAAGTCCTGACATGTCAGGACAAACCATGACATTATAGTATCTATTTGCTAACTTAGTCTGTGCCATATGGTGGTACCTTGTGCCTCATTCTATGCGCTCCTCACTGCCACACAGATTTGTTCTCGGTGTCTGTTCCAGTACGTAGAATAGAATATTTTTATATATTATATGTAATTTCTCTTGAGTATTTTTTACTTTTAACCACTGATTCGGAATAAAACATCTGTCCTGGGAAGAACCAGCAAGAAACCCAGTGGAACTTAAAAAAAGTTAATTATACATTATGAAAAGTTGCACAAACTATTTACAAAATTTATTTTAAAAACAGCTTGAAAGCGACCACCTCATTCCTAAGGGTTATTATCAACCATGTATTCATTTATTATAATAACTCATTTTAGTAGTACATGTTATTTTAATGATCAAAGAACACTCAGCGAAGTGCTTGCTGGAATTAATCGATCGATTATAATCAACGGTTTAACTCTAAAAGATAACAATCGATGTTGATTTGAATGATGCCTGTCATGCGGTACCTCCAAAGCGATCTATCTGACAATACCATTTTCGGCTTTAGGTGTGACCAACTGGCTATTGAGGACCATAAAACAAACCAGTTTCTGCACGGCCCACCTTATAAGGTGCCGTTATATAAAGCTGGGTTCTCTGAAAGCGGGCCGTGCAATTGGTTATTCATTTGCTTAAACACTGAGTCATTTAAACATATGTTACAATCAGATCGATAGAGAGATAGGGGGAGGGCGTATATAGGGTGACCTCGTAAATATGCAAATGTCTCAGAACAGCTTGTTTTAGTTCGCATCGTCTCAGGGTAACCAATGAATCATCCACTCAACACACGCGAGACGTACTTTCGTGTGGTAAAAATAGGGTATTTTTGTAACTCATGAGTAATTAATTGTTTTTTCGTTGTTCCAGTTCTGGGAGATCATCTCCGACGAGCATGGCATCGACCCCACCGGTGCCTACCATGGCGATTCGGACTTGCAGCTGGAACGCATCAACGTTTATTACAATGAGGCGTCTGGCGGCAAATATGTGCCCAGGGCCATCCTAGTTGACCTCGAGCCCGGCACCATGGACTCTGTCCGCTCGGGACCTTTCGGACAGATCTTCCGTCCGGATAACTTCGTGTTCGGTCAGTCTGGTGCCGGCAACAACTGGGCCAAAGGTCACTATACAGAGGGCGCGGAGCTCGTTGACTCGGTCTTAGATGTCGTGCGTAAAGAAGCGGAGTCCTGCGACTGTCTTCAAGGTTTCCAGCTCACACACTCCCTTGGCGGAGGCACTGGCTCCGGCATGGGAACCCTCCTTATTTCTAAAATCAGAGAAGAATACCCCGACAGAATCATGAACACATACTCAGTTGTACCTTCACCCAAAGTGTCAGACACAGTAGTAGAACCATACAACGCCACACTCTCGGTCCACCAGCTCGTAGAAAACACAGACGAAACCTACTGTATCGACAACGAGGCTCTCTATGACATCTGCTTCCGCACGCTCAAGTTATCCACACCCACGTACGGCGACCTCAACCATCTAGTGTCGCTCACGATGTCCGGCGTCACCACCTGCCTTAGGTTCCCAGGTCAACTAAATGCGGATCTCCGCAAACTGGCCGTGAACATGGTACCTTTCCCGCGTCTCCACTTCTTCATGCCCGGATTCGCGCCGTTGACGTCCCGCGGCAGCCAGCAGTACCGCGCCCTCACAGTCCCCGAGCTGACCCAACAGATGTTCGACGCCAAGAACATGATGGCAGCGTGCGATCCTCGCCACGGCCGCTACCTTACCGTCGCCGCCATCTTCCGTGGCCGCATGTCGATGAAGGAAGTCGACGAGCAGATGCTCAACATCCAAAACAAGAACTCGTCGTACTTCGTCGAATGGATCCCCAACAACGTAAAGACCGCCGTGTGCGACATCCCACCCAGAGGTCTCAAGATGGCCGCCACCTTCATCGGCAACTCAACCGCGATCCAAGAGCTTTTCAAGCGCATCTCGGAACAGTTTACCGCTATGTTCAGGCGCAAGGCTTTCTTGCATTGGTACACTGGCGAGGGTATGGACGAGATGGAGTTCACTGAGGCGGAGAGCAACATGAACGACTTAGTCTCCGAATACCAGCAATACCAGGAGGCCACCGCCGATGAGGACGCAGAGTTTGACGAAGAACAAGAGCAAGAGATTGAAGACAACTAAACACCTCCCCCCTCGCGACTCCGTAACACTCTTACCGATCCCCTTTTCCTGTCCCATTGGACGCCAGCGTTCTTTGATTCTGTAGTTTTGTACATGTTTGTAACAGTTATGTTTCCCGTCTCGCCAACAGAGTGCGCATCGGTGTTGCGTAGTGTATACATTCCCAGTGTTTTCCTTGACCGAAGGGCGCTCTCTCGGTTGTTTATTGACTTTAAACAGTACCCCCACGACGTGATCCCTTCGCCTGACCCGACCAACACGGTGCTGTGAACTCACTGATGACACAAAGGAAAATGATCTTTTGTTTGATAAGGCTGAACTTGATTTTTTAATACCTAAGTTAATTTTTAATCTTCGTAACCAGTGTGATGAGTTTTTTTAGTTGGTTTTTTCAGATGAAAAGCTAACATCATGGCGTACAATTTTTCGAAGTCGATCAAACTTTTTAATTATTATATTCCAGCTGGTGAATAATAAAATTTAATGATTTTATTTGGTGTTTTATTTAATTAATGCATATTATATCTAACTTAACTATGCTCGAAAATAGTCGAAAACATAATATATAAATATTAAGTGTGATGCCACGCTATGTATCGTATAAAATCTATGGCAACTATTATGATTGCAGCACGAATGCGCCTGCTTGACCGGGGACGCACCTAGTTCGCATAAACATTACCTTTACAGCCTTCATAAAGTCCACTGCTGAACATAGGCCTCGCCTATAGGTTGCTTCATAGGGACGATATTTGCCACGCTTGGCAATCGAGTTGGCAACCGCAGATTTTCTTTATTAGTAAGATACTGCGGCCAATCTGAATAGGGATATCAGCTCTTAACCACACCCACAGGATGGTAATATGAGGCAGTGGACCTCTGCAGCGCGCAGCAGTGCTGCCGCAACGCTACTAGTCCCCATATATTCTCTATAGGTTATGAGATTACATTCCGAGCGGTGGCAATAATGAAGCGGCAACACTGCTGCGCGTTAGTATCGCCCTGCCGCCGGGACAGACCAGTACACAGAACACTAATACCCTTAGGGACCAGTAGTGACGTGTCCGCCGCAACGATATAGTCTACCTACGTGATGTTAATGAAAAAAAATATGAATTTCTGATTCGGAAGACGAACAATTAGTTACTTGTTTGGGCTTTATATCCAGTCCTTAACGATAGCAGTCATACTATTTATCGTAATAGTTTTATAGACTTAAGATATATCGAACGATCAATAAAACTAGTCATTCATCTTCCAACAATGTTAAAAGTTTGTGATCAATCTAAATCTTGTCAACTCAAAGCAACTGAATGAATACACAATAGTGCAACACCACGAACAGGGCAACACCGCCGCCTTGCTCGGACTGAATTAGCGCGGCAGGCAGCACCACAGTGGCAACACTGCCGCGGTAGCACTGCTGCATGTTGCAGAGTTCGGAATCATACCTTCACACCGCCACTACACGATATTTGTTGTTTGAAAAACACCAGCGTGATGCTGTTATGTATGGTCAATAACAAAAATCGTTGAGAGAGAAGTAATTATAATCTCTGAAGGGTGCCTGTTACAACCCTTCATAAGTCCACTGCTGAGCATAGCTCGGCTCGTGGCTCCCCACTAGATGGGAGTGAAGAGAAGCACGAAGTCGATAGATGCAGATGGCTCAGGAACGTGCTTTGTGGCTTTCGTTGAGGCCTATGGTTTAAGCAGTGCTTGCAGACTAGCAAACTTGTAAAAAACTAATGAAATGATGCTGACACAATATACAGATACCTACATATGGCAATTTTATAAGTTGATCGAAATCACATCTAATATTCACATTCTTAATAATTTGCTAATTTATCTATAAGAGGAAAACAAATTCTCTATTATAGGGGCCTCGATCCTCAATGCTAGTTCAGCATAATTTAATTCAAATTTTCTGCAATGAATCATAGATTGTACAAATAAAGATAATGCTTAGTACGCTGAATCCAAGTTGAATCAATAGGTAAGGCGACGTGACGCTCGCAGATTGACGATGACGTCCGCCGACGGTCAATGAGCCATTATCGAACGTGGACGTGGAGCGACTACTTTATAGCTCTATAAAGAAAAGTGTCTAGGCACGTACCTATGTAGTGATGTTGAAAAATGTTGATCATTCCATTGCGTTTGATGAGAAAACTGATAAGAACTGGTGTAGGTAGGTATGTATTTCATAGTTCTGAACCTAAAAATAAAGTTGTATCACCTTCTCGCTAGTAAAAAGTTGTTGCAGTTGCACATAAAAATCGTTACTTTTTACACAATGGATTATGTACTACATTTATTTAATTATTTCCTAACTTAGAAATTTCTTTGACGTATAAAGTTTCATTTTTGTCAAACGTCATTTTCTGCCGACATCCAAAAAGGAAACTGTACTCAATTCGACTGTATTTTTTTTGTGTTACCTCATAACTTTTTACTGGGTGAACCGATTTCGATGATTGTTTTTTTGTTTGATAGCTGGTATTTCTCTTGTGCTCATTTGATCAAGGTCAGACCAATAGTTTTTGAGTTATTCTTAATAACTTATATTGAAGTCGGCTGTACAAAATTTTTTATTATTTATTAGTTTATCGCTTAGATCATTAACAAGTCATTGCACGCTCACTTATCAATAATCTAAGGTTTATCGTTTATAAATTGAGGCACAGAAATAATAGGCCAATGAGGTTCTTTCGAGCTAAAGAAACACTGCGAGTATCCTTTTTTTGTAAAGGTTAAATACAATACTTAATTAGGTTTATTATTATAAAAAGTACAGACACATTGGCCATATAAATATTGTCTCATAAAAGTTTATTAAGTGATAGAGCCATGCTGCAGCTATATTACTGGTATAGTTGTAGCACGAATGGGTCGGCTTGACCGGGGAAGGACCACGCTCTCACAGAATACCAGCTTAAAATAACAGCTTAACGCTGCTGTTTCGTATGGTGAGTGTAGAAAACCGGAGAACCTTTTTACTAGACTTTTCAACTTGACTGGTTTCCTCTTTTAAGGGCATTTTCAAGTTTTAAAAACATTTTGCGGACAAAATGTTTTTTCCCCGTTTTAACATTTTGTCACCATAAATGTTTAACCAGAGTTGTAGTAGGTCAGGAGCTCTGCGCTCGCTTACGCAACCCGGGTTCGATCTCCGCCGTCACTAATGAAATTGTTAATTGCAATTTTAAGTGCTGATTTGCTACGTGCTCGGCGGTGAAGGAAAACATCGTGAAATTTGCGAATCTGTTTGAGAAATAAAAAAAAATTCAAAAACGAGAGTAGGCCTGTACAGCAATGGTACGTATATAGGCTGCAACTTTACTAAAGGTTTTCCGAACTATTGCAAGATGTACACTAATAATATTATTCCAGAAGTAATAATTATGCTCGGTTACCTACTTCCTACATATCTACTTAGTAAAGACGCTTCCCGTCGTATGTACGCTTAGATCGTTTAAATTACGCACCGCAATGATTCAAGAGGAAGGCTTATATGTGCCTGCCCATATATTATATAATTCTTCTGTTCGTGTGTATGTGACTGAACTCCACCTAAACGACTGGACCGATTTCGATGTAATTTTGTGTGTGATTAAGTTGAATTAGAGAATAGCTTAGATTCACAATTGGACCTGGTAGGTGTCGAGGTTAACTTCCGTGCGAAGCCGGGGCGAATCGCTAGTTTTCTTTAGAATAAGGGTGATGAGTACACAGTCCACCTGATGGTAAGTAGACGCAGTGCATATAAACATCTACATCTATTCTTGATTAAGAATCAAAATACAGAAAGCGTTGTTATCCGTGACAACTAAGATGGAATGCCTCGTTTTCAGTAAAAATGATCTCCGGTTCACTACACTCACCATACGAAACAGCAGAATTAAGCTGCCATTTTAATTTTACGCTGGTATTCTGTATGAGCGTGATCCTTGCATGGTCGAGCCGACCATACATACTACAACCTTAATATAGCTGCAATGTAACTCTACCAGTCAACCACGTATAAAAATGTACCTAAAAAGTACATAGTCATGTGCTGGCGTTAAATCGGGGAATGCCAGAAACATCTTATGTCTTCCGATAGGTGATGGTATATAACTATCACGTTTACATCATCATCATCATTACAGCCCTTCGTAAGTCCACTGCTGAACATAGGCCTCCCACAAGGAATGCGACAAAGCACGGTTCTAAGCCACCAGCCTCTATCGACTTCTTGATATCTTACCAGATCATCACACCATCTAGTATTGGGTTTCAGGGATCGTTCTACTATTCTGATCTCTTTTTTTATAGGATAGGGTGACAAGCGAGCACGCAGTCCACCTGATGGTAAGTGGTTGCTGTGGCCCATAGACATCTATATCTACCCGCGTTTGCGAATTAAAATGCAGACGCGTTGTCACCCGTGAGGACTAAGATAGAATGCCTGTTTTCCAGTAAAAAAGGTCTCCGGTTCTCTACACTCACCATACGAAACACAGCAGTGTTAAACGGCTATTTTACGCTGGTATTCTGTGAGAACCTGGTTCTTCCCCGGTGGAGCCGACCACGTAAAAAATCTCGTAGGCAGTGGTGTGGACTATGGGTTCTTGCGCAAGTTTGCGTTTCGGGGGCTCGATCGATCACACGATGTAGGTAGAGAGTGACATTAAAAGAGCTTTGTCCAAGTAACGGGTGCATCTCCTGAGATTCAGCCCTTATGGCCTGCACGGCTAGCGTGGGCTGGGGACAAAAAATTTATCCTCCAATTATATCCACTGACAAGAAATAAAATTATCTTGTCCTTATGCTAAACCACGGCAACGGGGAGAAGTATATCCCCGTTTGACATAACGAGTAGCCATATATTCCCCGTCAGTAGCATGGAGCCAAATGAAAGATAAAAAATTATGCTTTTTTGACATTTGAAAGGGACAATTATTTTATCCTAGTTCATTGGACGTGGGTTTAAGTTTATATTCATACAAAAAAGG